TAAGACATGTGCTCTAGGCCCTTCACCAGCTTTATTGCTCTTCTTTGGACATGCTCCAGCACCTCGATGTCCTTCTTATAGTGAGGGGCCCAACACTGAACACGATACTTGAGGTGCAGCCTCACCAGTGCTTAGTACAGGGGGACGATCACTTCCCTGGTCCTGCTGGCCACACTATTCCTGATGCAAGCCAGTATGCCATTGGCCCTCTTGGCCACCTGAGCACACTGCTGGCTCATGTTCAGCCAGCTGTCGACCAACATCCCCAGGTCCTTTTCTGTCAGGCAGCTCTCCAGCCACTCTTCCCCATGCCTGTAGCATTGCATGGGGTTTTTGTGACCCAAGTGCAGGACCCGGCACTGAGCTTTGTTGAACCTCATAAAATTGGCCTTGGCCCATCAATCTAGCTTGTCCAGATCCCTCTGTAGGGCCTTCCTACCCTCCAGCAGACCAACACTCCCACCCAACTTGGTGTTGCCTGCAAACTTACTTGACCCCCTCATCCAGATCGTTGATAAAGATATTAAACAGAACTGGCCCCAGTACTGAGCCCTGGGAAACACCACTGGTGACTGGTCACCAACTGGATTTATCTCCATTCACCACAACTCTTTGGGCCTGACCTTTAAGTCAGTTTTTTACCCAGCAAAGAGTATACCCGTCCAAGCCATGAGCAGCCAGTTTCTCCAGGAGAATGCTGTGGGAAAAGGTGTCAAAGCCTTTACTAAAGTCCAGGCAGATAATGTCCACAGCCTTTCCCTCATCCACTAAGCGGGTCACCTTGTCATAGAAGGAGATCAGATTAGTCAAGCAGGACCTGCCTTTCATAAATCCATGCTGACTGGGCCTGATCACCTGGTTGTCCTGTACGTGCTGCATGATGGCACTCAAGATGATGGAAGAACAGAGATAAAACGTGCCTGATGGTCTTTGCTTTGAGCTTTATGCACCCATTCAGCCCATGTGAAATGGCATAAAACACTCTACTGACAAGTGACGTGTGGGAATATCTTGCACAAGACCAAAATGTATCTATTAGAGAATTTCCACTAATATAGCTCCATGGATGAAGCAACATCAGCCTTCATGTTCCCATTCTCATTATGCCCTTAGCAAGACAATGCCAAAGGATACCCCATGGGATGGCAAATTAATAAATGGACATGGTCAAGACTACAATGTGGATTTGCAGACTGATTGGTCTGAGCTGCTCCTTCCCCGAACTACGAGTGATATGTCTTTGTGTCAAGAGATGTAAGATGCAATGGAGAAGCAGGCTGGATGTCAGCTTCATCTGTAGCTATCCAGGCAGAGGTGCAAGAGTGCACATCTCTTACCACCAGGTATCTGCAGTCAGCCATGAGAGACAACCACCACATTACTTACACTGCAAAGGAAAGAGCTGCAAATTTGATTGATTGACATTGATTTCCCACATAGAAAACTGTAAAAGCAGACTAGCCGGCTGCAAAAGTAGGAAAACCCATATGTGTTTGTTAAAATTGCCCTGTGTATACACCATGATGGTGATAAAATTAATGTAAGATTTCAGTCTATGTTCTTTTATTTTGTTTGGTAAAACTTGGAAGTATCAGACAAAGGGCACAATTAAAGAACATATTATTATCATAATTAATTAATCCATTGGTGACTAATGGAAGATGAAGCACTGCAAACATAAATCACTCTGCATGTGTTGTAAGGATTTGTGCCATAATTAGGAAAGCCAGGAGAATACTGAAGTATGTGCTAACATGAACTTGGTTTTAGTGGGATGTAAGTGTATGCTTTCATAAATAACCATTTGCCTAAGTGGTTTTAGTGGCATACTTATAGTTCAAATGGCAAAATCAAGTCTTACCAGTGTCCAAATACATGTACCCCATTATGAATAACCATACTCGAAAGTATAATAATTTTTAGTCTCTAAAAAACCCTCATCTCAACATTTTATTAGCCATAAGCTGTTAAGCTGTGCTTAAGAGAACTTCTTCGAGAAAATGTTTATGCCAAAAGCAATCTACACCATATATGATGATCATTATGAACTTTTATGCAAAACAGTTTGTCAACCAAGAAGGGAAGAAGAGAAAAACAATGTCTGCCTTCCAGAAGACTGAGAAATCTACTCAGTCATTCTGTGCTCCTTTATCAATCAGAAGGAGGTGATGTTTGCAAGGGCTGGCCCCACTCAGCATTTCAGATTTTGCTTGCAATATCACCTTTAGAAAGCTGTGATGCTAAGGCAAAAATCAGCAAAACTGGACTGCAAACATCAAAACATAAATATCTATTCATACCTTACAGATTTACAAAATAGAGAGAAATAAAGGGAGCACCATTCTGATATAGTGTCCTTGATGATCATCCAGACATCTCTGTTTGCTGATGTACCGAGTTCTTCTTTGGAAATAGCTGTTAGAGCACAGGTAAGGGAGCTTCTGCTGCTATAGGCTGGCCATGTCTTCCTGATCTCAAAGGCAAAATTAAATGTCTTTTGAGCATCATGTGTGTCTTCCCTTTCTCTCCTTCACTACCAATATTCTCATGGAATCTTTTATGTCTTATTTGTAATGCATAAGGTTTTAGACAAAGTCCCCCCGACACCTATTTGCTTAGACACCTCAATTTCTCTGGGGTAGGTACCTATGATTCCTTGAGTTCCCAGCTCATGTCTGGAAGTTAACATTCACCAGAGATCTCCAGGAGTCCTTGCTGACCCTGACTGCCATGGGACACAGCTCCACGCAAACACTGTCATGTTCCAGCCCCAGGTCACCGCTGTGCTGCAGAAATTGCTCTGCTCTTCAGGCGTTTTATACAGGTTTGGCCTGGTTTTAAGAAACCAGCTTGCACCTGTCTGTTTTTACTAGGAGTCAAAGTCATGGAATTTTCCTATTGCTCTGAATGACATTTTCGGGCTGCCTGTGCTAGCAGGGCTTTAAATGTTGCTCACTTTCCTAGAGGGCTGCTTTCCTTCTGCAAGAAATAAGGTTGTTCAGCAAAATCTATGAATGCTATGGCAATTTGCATCACTGAAATTTAAATGATTTGACTCTGATAATAGATTTATAGTGTTCCACAGGTGGGAAACAGTACAGCCCTGAAAGCGAGTAGGGCTTGTTTAAATACTGCATATTATAGCAGTCACCACCTTCCCCAATGTCACATTCTGATTTTATTTGGGGAAAGCATGACTCCTCATTAACATGAACTTCTTTAGGCAGTGATGAGTGCTCAAAAAACATAAGTCTGTTTGCAAAACATCACAACGCTGTTGTCCTGTCTAAATGAAAGGCAGATGGGGAAAATTCACATTTCAATGGGTCTTCATAAAAACAAAAGGGTTTTGTTTCCTGGTTTCTTCATGTTCTTGTTGCAGGTCAGACGTCTGTCTCTCCGTCCCACTGACAACTTACTGAAAGAGAAAAGAGAGGAGTAACAAATCAGCTCTCCTGCACATTAGAAATGGGGAAAGCTGGAGAGTTGCTGGCAAAAAAAGAGATAATTTCCAAGGCAAGGTTACAAAAAAGGACATTCTGGAGTGCTTGGCATTTCCTGGTTTATTAGATTTATTAGAATTGTTATTTGCTGTGTAAACACTTAAGTAACTCACGTTGTTGCTACTTTCCCAGCCACTTAAGTTTGCCCGTTAGTATGTAGATTAAACATAAACATCGGTAATGTTTTCATCCTACTAATAATTCTGAGAACAAAAATACCATTAAATCCCAGTTAAATATAAGAAATGAGGTAATAAGGAGTAAACCACTGAACCAGAACGCTGAATGCCAAAGCCAGGAACTGCAGAAACATCTGGGCTTTGACAGGGATTAACCTGTTTATTATGTGTGACAGTATTTGGGCAAAGGAAGGATGCCCTTGGGTGCAAAGCTGTTGCAGTCCTTTGATATCCACAAGCCCAGGATTTCGTGAAGAAGAACCTTCAGTGTTTTGCTACCCTAAACAATGCTTCTCAGAAAATTTACAGCCATGGGGATCACGCTCTGAAGTGAAGTGCAAGAAGACGTTGCACTTCGAGGTATTATGTCTGCCCAGCTGTTTCAGCCGAATTCAGTCTTTTAAAAACCAATCAATCACAGGTCTGCACCTCACATACTGCACACTCAACTCTGCCAGGGATAAAATTAGCCACTGAAAGGTCATCCAGGAACTCAGAATTGGTCACTGGTTCAACCAGTTGCTACCATTTCACTTTGAATCTGGAAATCACCTTGCCTTCGCTGCAAGGAGAGCCATGACACCCATAATCACAATGCAACTTCATAAATTCTTATGGAATAAGCCCATTCTCCCAACCTTTTGAGGCAATATGAGGGGAAACAAAAAGGGGACATCAAAAGCTGGTAAAAATGCAAAGCACTCAAGGGGGCATATAAGTGAGAATTAAAGGAGGGAGAGAGCTTTGTCAGCCCTCTGCAGTGGGTGAGGATGGCCTGAAACCTGTTTAAAAAATGACAAAGGAAAGTCGCGTTGACTCAAATGTTTCCCAATGTTTTCCTCTGCCTTTGATATCATCTGCCTGGTGACAGGGATGGGGAGACAGAGACAAAATGTTATGTGACTTGCCAGTGAGTGACGGATCCAGGGTCAACACTGGAACCAGACTCCAATGGTGGCTGACTCCCAAGTCCTCTGCCTAACCCATCCCTGTGCCTGTGTTGGAAACAGGTCTGCAAAAGCCATGCGAATTGGTGCAGCTTGTTGGGTTTTGGCTGATGGCCACATTGCATAACTGACACGGTCAGTGGAAATTCACCCTTGGGGATTGCAACATGTTCACTGCACATTTCATTGCAACCTGCGATAAGGGGGATAACCAGTCTGCTTTCCAGAAGGTTGGTTGCAGTTACTTATTGACAAAGCACTCAGCTGTCAAACTTGAACAATCCCGCTGGCCCTATAAATACCAGGTGCCTTTCCTAGCCTCTTCCTCAAACAAACTTGATCCTCTGTCGATATTTCAGGCGCTTTGCAGGGGCACACAGTCCACAACCGACTGGCAGCCATGAAGATCCTGTACCTGCTCTTTGCTGTTCTCCTCTTCCTCTTCCAGGCTGCTCCAGGTGAGAAGCAAAGTAAATCCTACAAAGAATGAAAGGGCTTGTAAGCAGAAGTGTGTGTATAAGAGGAAAAAACCAACCATCAACTGACAGGCAAAATCTGATGCTGTCGGGATGGTGCTATGCAGTGGATGGGACCAAGAACATCTGTGCTCATGATTGCTGTCTTCCTAAAAATGCAGCACATGATTTATTGCATATTTATCCATCATAATTTTAGACTGAAAACTGATATTTTAACATCTTCCCCTTCCCACAGGTTCTGCAGATCCTATTTTTGCTGACACCGCAGAGTGCAGGAGCCAGGGAAATTTCTGCCGTGCTGGGGCATGCCCACCCACCTTCGCTGCCTCGGGGTCGTGCCACGGGGGGCTGCTGAAATGCTGTTCGAAGTAAGTGCCGCAGGACTGAAGGGCATCAGAGATCATTTTTGTTCTGCCATTTTATCTACTGCTTCTTTGAATAATATGCACAATTCCATGGGGCTTGCAGGGCAGCCATTTGGGAGAAGGTCCAGATGGAGGATGATCATGTGTACATCGTAGATGTGTGTTTAAGGAGACAATTCATTTTGATGGAAGTTATGTATGAAAGCAAAAGTTCAGGACAGTCAAAATTTCCCAGAAGTCAATATTTTTCACTTGATTTTGAATTTTGACAGGAAAAAAATTTTTTTTCAAGAAATTATTAGGAAAATATCTCACAATATTTTCACCCATCAAGCAAGACAACGTCTACTCCCTTCTTCTGTTCTTTTCATTTCCAAAATGACCTAGAAAATTAAATTTTAGCGGAGGAAAAATGTTCACACAACTCTGCTTCTCATTCTCTTCCCATCTCTTCTTCCTCCCACCACTGTGCAGCTTGTAGAAAGGTGAAGAGTGAATTCGTTAGTGACTGGAGACAACTGGGTGTGCATTTCACTTTTGACTTTGGAGACCATTTTCTAATAACGTCTGAAGTTTCCCTGATAACACCACTCCTTTCCTTAAGGTTTTGAACATGCTTTGGGGGAATGCACTTTAGCTTACGATAACACATACTCCTCAGGCATTTAATTCTTATGATAGTTTTGTTGAACTGATTACCATATGATGATCATTGCCATCTGCAGTAACTCTCTATCACATACACTAAATTTAGTGGCAAATTAGGAGAGGTTCCTGTGTCTTTTGATGAAAAGGACAGGTGTGATGACATTACTCAGCCCGACAGGAGATGTTCAGGCAGATCCTCAGCCATTGATGCAACTGGACAGAGCCCAGTTCAAAATAAAGGAAGGACTCAGATACGTATTTTCTGAATTTTCCAGAACTCCTTATTCTGTTACTGACATACTTGTCAGGGTTTAAAGGTTCACAGAAACTGAAGAAAGTGTGATGAGATGGCTCTAGGGAAGAGGTTTCATAGCATTTGTTCAGCACATGGGGATCCTCAGTCAGGCTGCAGTTTCAGGAAACTTAAGTCATACCAATATTAGGACACATTTGTTGTCAGGAGATTAAGATGCTAAGGAAGCATCTGCTTAGGAACTCAGAAAAGTAAATGGTACAGAAACAACCTGATATTAGGTTATTTTCTAAAGGGACGACTCTATCTATCACAGTCTCTGTGAACGATGATTCTCTTTAGGAAGCAATTTCTGCTGATAGTGGACAGACTGGTAGGAGCAGATGGCAGATCTCCAACATCAGACTTCTGTCAGAACATCTGTTGGGCCTGATCTGAGGAGAACTGGGGCTGGGAAAGGAACAAGACCTCTTGAGTTTGGTTCCAGGTGTTAATTTTTCTACAGGAATACTCTTTCTCAGAAGAACTTACCCATATGTGATATTGATGGATGCTAATGTTCAGGATAAAAACTCTTCCTATTGTGCTGTTAAATTTTCATCTGGGTTAATCAATAAAGCAAAAGTTGAAACCAACAGGATATTCTGAAGTACAATATAAATTTTTTCCGGTTGAGGATTCAACCTACTGAGTTGCTTGAAGAGAAATCTTTGAAATTGGACACAAAGAGTTCGATTCAGTAAGCTACATATTGAGATGTTTAGTGGCTTTTGAGGTGCCTGGGAGTATTTAAACCATATATACAGGTCTGGCTGAGATATCTCATGACGTATGGGAAACATTGCTTTTCAGAAAAGACGGCTGGAGTCCAAGCAGATACCCCAGAGCTCTTCAAATGTCACTGGACTTCAGTGATTAAGTAATTAAATCAAATCTCTGTTCTTTATTTTGGGGTGAGCTGAATCAAAATTTTATTAGTAGTGGTAATACAACTAGTTTGCCAGTGACTATAGTTCATGTGGACTGGATGTCTGCAGACCTAGACACCCAGCACGCATGTAGGCATCTAAATATAGCTTTTTAGACCTGCAGGCTGAATCCACCCTGTACATATATTCTGAAAAGTAATTAGCAGGTACTGAGGCTTTTAGAGATTGATCTTAGACTACATTTCAGCAAAATAACAAGACCCTTTGTATCCTTACAGGATTTTGGCAAAGTAAGCAGAGAAGGCTTTCCTGGGTCAGTGTCCTTGTACCAGCAACATTTCCACTGCCTTGAGGAGGCGATTTTGATGGATTCCTCCTCTATCTAAACCCTCCTGCAAATGAGCATTAAAAGAAGCTTCCAGAGGGCACATCCTGTTAGCACACCGCTTCTGGAGATCCAGGTTTTTCCTCGCTGAAGTCACTCCCTTTTTTGCTTTTAATACACAAGCCACTTCGGCACCTTGGCCACCTATTCCAGCCTACCTCACGGGGATGTTTGGATGTTCAATCAGTTCAGGTTCATGCAGCTCTTGGAGGATGTGAAGCAACAAATATATTATTATTTTATTCACACACAAAAATAAATGTTGTCTTAAACCAATAACTTTGATCTCTTATTGTTACTAACAGTAATTTTCTCTGTGGTTTTAACTCAAGGCTTGTTGAGTCATGCAATCTTTGTGAACAAATAAGTCCATGTAGTCTCTCATATTCCCAAATGATTTGAAAAAGGGGACATGTAAAACAGCAACTAGGTTTGATGATACTAAAGTATTCAGGATGACAAGACTGAAAATTGAGTATGAAGAACTCTACAAGCAACTCTTGGTAGTGAGTGAGTGGATGACAAAATGGCAAACAAGAAACACCTTCAGTATTGCAAACTATATACATACATATATTCCTGACTTCGTAAACACAGTGATGGGGTCTGAACTATCTCTACCCAGAAACAAGATCTGCAGTAATATACAGACTGTTTTTGAAAACATCAGACCTGTGTTCAGTAGCAGTCATAAAAGTAAATGAAATGGCCTGTTTTATTCAGTAGTACAGATATAGCCATGAGCTCTATAGTGCTAAAATGCAAAACCAAGGTGTTTTTCATTGTTTCCTCCAATAGTTACAGATGCACAATCAATTTCTTTTCTCCCATCACAAGTATTCATGGAGACAAGAAGTCCATTTTTTATGAGTAAATTTCCTACATCTGTCTTGAAAGGATGCTAGGGCAACATAGGGCTGATTTCATCCAGGTGCATTAGAAAAAGATAGGGGTTTCACCATGGCACTGGAGCCTATTTTTAAGCAATTTAATTGATCCTCATGTCTCTGAATCTAGAGCTGTATCAAGCCAAAGAAAGAGATGCTCCTTCCCCACAACTGCAGCCTTTTTTTGTATCTAAAGAGTCTAAAAAGAACTCCAATCAGAAACACGAAGGAAATGCAGAAATCAAAAAAGGTCAAATTAATGCAGAGGTTGGGCAGCATTTTATTTCCTTCCTCTTGTCTTAACTTCCCCATTGACAACACTCCTGTCCTGTTAGTCTGAAGAGGACAACGTGCCCAACATTTCCCTGTTGTTTTGCAAAGATTTTGCAAAAGATTTTTATAAACTGTATTTGTGCAAGAAAAAAAAAAAAACACCCTCTTGACTTCTGCAGCTTTGGATCTGTCAAATGGGGCTAGATCACTTTCTTCTGAATCAACATCTATAATAGGACCATACTCTGTAAGTATTAAATGACACCTAAGGGCTACATATTCTACCTACTTCAGTGGCTTCTTCGACAGAAAAGGCTTGAGGATTTAGCAGTAATCCGTGTTTGAAGCTGCCTCAAGTAATTTGCCTGACTGGAGTAATCTTACATTTATATTAGCAACTAAAAATTCCAGGGACATTTTTCTAGTGACATGGAATACTATTCACCAGATCTCTTTGCCTTGAAAATAAGACTGTTGCATTCAAGATGTGTACCAAGAACTGTCCCTGGTCTATGCTAACCCCTGAACCATGCCCAAGATTTGTTCAGGAGATGGTTAGCTGACCCAAACAAAGATCCTGATCCCATTTAAACATCAAGCTAACCATTTAGCAAGCACATCTCCCTGCCCATAACCTGGTCCCGTTCAACATCTACTGGATGATCTGTTCTCCATCCCTCAAGTTTCTCCTGGAAGAAACCTCTAGTATTAAGTCTGGATAAATTCAGGACAGACAGAGCCTCAGATTTCCCACCTGTCCCAACAAAACACGTTTCTAGTGCTTAAGTCATAGAGGTGTTATTCTAAACAGGGTGGTCCCCACTTCTGCCTCTAGATGCTGCACCTCATGTCCATCAAGGTCTTTTGTTTCACCCTAGCAGCCACTCTCACTGCCATACATGGGTAACTTCAGGCTCGCCTTCCCCTTTTTGCCCAATTTTCATGAAGCCCATTGAGTCTCTTTATCACCCCTGCACTCCCCATGTCCCCTGAGTGGAGCCTGATGTTCGCCTTGTGTAGGATGGGTCACACAGATCTCCCGTGTCACTCACCCTACAGAGACACGCTTCTCCTGCATCAGTTTGCTGGCTTTTCTCTCTCATATACTGACCACTGAGAGTTCTTCCCAAGAAGTTCCTCATCCCATGTCTATTGAGAACTTCAGTCCCTAGGAAACTTTTGTTTTTTCCCTTGGAGAGCTGGCAGGAAGGCAGCTAGACCCAAATTCTTTGATAGTGCAGCTCAAGCTATAGTACAAGCCCGATGGTAGACGAGAGATCTCTTGATTGATGCATACCTTCCAAAGCTAATGCAGGACCTCAGAAAATCTCCTCCTTGATCACCTGATGAATGAAACAGTTTTCAAAATTATTGGGATAGGGACTTTCTAAAAATTTGCTGATCAGTGACTTCTTCCCCTCACAGCTCTCTTCTATGGCAGGGAGCCAGATTGGAGATGGTCCCATGGCTGATCTTGAACAGGAGGTTCAGTCACTAGGGCTGGAGTTCCCCCAATGAAACCTAATTTCATGCATGAGCAGCCTCTATCAAGTGCTCCATCAAGGGGAACAAACATCGTGTACCTTCCACCCACTGTCATCTTCACTGTGTCTGTGAATGTCTGTGTCTCTCACCGTCCTTTTTTCCTTGCACTTTGGGACAGGGGAACTCAACACCACTACTTGCTGCCACCTGTTTATTTACTCCTAGACCATAGGAGATTTTCACTAAATTAATTGTCCTCTTCTGTTCTGGCAGATTAGTTGCCCATCAGTTGTAATTAAAAGCAGGGACTCTCCTTCAGGTCCAAAGACATTTCCACTCCTTGCCCTGCAGCCCAGAAAACAGACCACAGGTGGCAATTTCCCAAGCTGAAAAGTCAAACAACAAACCAACAAGTCCCCTGAAGGACTAGTGAGCCAAAGAGATGATTTTACTCTTTCTAGGTGACAAATTACCATTTCTTCACAAGGACAGGTCCCATACAAAATCCTCCACCCACTCCTTTGCTGCCAGGTCAAATATTAACTCTGACAGACACCTCAAGATCAACAGCTTCCCATCAGTAGCAGCCCTACTGCTTTCTCTGCATGCTGGTGATTGTTGGCCAGCATCTTCTCCTGGTGCTCAAGGAGAAAGAAGTGGGGGACCTAGCCCAAGCTCCCTTTCCAAGCAGTCTTCAAGGGGGCTGTTGTCGCCCCAGGTGTATTTACCTTTCAATGGAAGGAGCCTAGACCCAGGGCAAGCATTGCTGTTGCGCTCCAACTAGAGCTAGGGGAGGGAGGTAGGGAGGATGGAACTGCTCCCCCTTTCCTTCCCTCTCCCTAATGTTGTTTGGTTCCAAAGAGCATTGAACAATGTGTGACACTGTGGGCAGATGCTGGCAGGGTTTGCTCAGCAGCCTCACTCCCCAAAACAAACACCCCTGCCCCTCGTGCCACCTGGGACAGGCAGGAGGAGAATTATGCAAGGAGTAGACAAGCGCATTTTCCATCTCCATTAAATCCTGTTATTTTAGCAAGCAGCTTCACCCTTAACATCTTGCCTAATGCTTGCCATGTTTTATGATCACGGACTGCCCCTTTATTACCCTCTTTCTGGACATGCTCTGTTTTCGGAAATGAAGATGAGGGTGCATTAGGATGGGGTGCCTGTCTGAAACCTTGAGCAGATGCACAGGGTGTTTTGGGTTGTGTCTATGTCCTAGCTCACAGATCAGAAATCAGAGAGCTGGTCAATGTTCCCTATGGCTTGCTTAAAAAAAAAAATCCAACACACACACACAGTGTTTTAACATGAAAGACTGACTCCTCAAAACTTCTTTTCCCATATTCAGGAGGAAAATAGAGAAGAGATGACAGGGGATGCCTTCCTCATCCCCTGCCTGAAGCAAAAGAAGGAGGCAACACAGTACAGAACACAATAGAGTGCAAATGATTTCACCTCATGTACACATCATCTCCATGGATGGGATTGGTGGAGACACCAGCCCGTTTAAGAACTGATGTCTCTGCCTCAGCCACTGCTCTGGACAAAGTGTACAAAAATATATGGCTTTTCCATAGACCACCACTGTCCACCCCAGTTCTCACAGATCCCTGGCAGAGGTCTGAAGCTCCATTTTCTCACCATGTTCCCCAAGAACTTCGTCACATATTGGGTCAACCCACCACTGGCAGTCTTAGAGGTGCAAAAGGAGGGAGGCCAGTGGCATCCTGGCTTGCATCAGGACTAGTGTGGCCAGCAGGACCAGGGAAGTGATCGTCCCCCTGTACTAAGCACTGGTGAGGCTGCACCTCAAGTATCGTGTTCAGTGTTGGGCCCCTCACTATAAGAAGGACATCGAGGTGCTGGAGCATGTCCAAAGAAGAGCAATAAAGCTGGTGAAGGGCCTAGAGCACATGTCTTATGAGGAGCAGCTGAGGGAACTGGGGTTGTTTATCCGGGAGAAAAGGCGGCTCAGGGAAGACCTTATTGCTCTCTACAACTGCCTGAAAGGAGGTTGTAGCCAGGTGGGGGTTGGTCTCTTCTCCCATGTAACAAGTGACAGGACGAGAGGGAATGGCCTCAAGTTGAGCCAGGGCAGGTGTAGGATATTAGGATATTAGGACATTAGGAAAAACTTCTTGGCACAGGCTGGCACTGGCACAGGCTGCCCAGGGAAGTGGTTGAGTCCCCATCCCTGGAGGGATTTAAAAGCCAGGTAGCTGTGGTGCTTAGGGACATGGTTTAGTGGTGGACTTGGCAGTGCTGGGCTAACGGTTGGACTTGATGATCTTAAGGGTCTTTTCCAACCTTAACGATTCTATGATTCTATGATTCTATGATTCTATGAGGTGTGGGCTTGATACTCCCAAGCATCTCCTGGATGTTGTGCCCATCACTTGAGACAGACAGATATGAGGCTTCCCCCTCTTCCCTTGGACCTCAAGGGGCCATGGCAATGTTGCCAGTTCTATCAGTCCTGCCAGCATTGCATAGTTTCCCAGCCTGCTGATTGGCACAACAGTTCATGAAGCAAGAAGGGGAATTTGTCTGCTTTGCCACTTGCCTCCTCTTGTCCCTCCTCAACCTCCCCCTCTGTCCTCCACTGTAAAGAAGATTTTTGCTCGCTTC